AAAATCAGTGTTGACTGTAATGAAACGTCATTTTCTGGACGAGTCCCGGAGGCTCTCCGAAGCTATCCAGGCTGATATGAAACCAACCAGGGGGACACCCCTCCACCCCCGCCGAACAGAACAGAAATCACGAAACTGGCCTACCATGACAGAAGAATCCAGAGCCCTGGCACGACCCTTCCGGGAAGGGCCCCCCCCCCACAAGCCCTCTGGAGGACTAACAATTCCAACACAGGATGGCAACTAGACGAAGCTGCCTGCAAAGACTGCACAACTGCAGGCTCTGCAAACAGCAATGGCCAAAAAGGTGAAGAAAACTGAAGAACCAGGACCCAAGCGGATTCCAGGAAAGAAGTTAGCACCACCCACCGACAGAACAGATGCGAAGCCTCCAACGAGAAAAGTAGGCAATCTCCTAACCAGGACCACCCTGGAATTTCGTAACGAACTCAGTAACAACAAGATCCAAACGCAAAGAACGCGGAACCACTACTAAGGCGTAACCCGGGTCAAGCAGGACGTAAGCCGCTAGGGCATCTCGCACCACATGGGACTGGACGCGGGAAGCCGAAAACCTCCGGAAGACTGAACTGAAGAACCCACAGGAGCACGGAACCAAACCCAGGGAGGGGTAGAATGCCAAATCCAATGCGTACGAGGCGGGAGAGAAGAGAAATCTTGCAACACCAAGCCTGCTCTGAGGGGTAACAAAAACCCAGGCAGGGTCCGATGGGGCCTAAGCCCCCCACCCCCAAGTCAACCCCTTCCTCGCCCCGGGAACCTCACTCTGAGGACCTGGAGCCATCCCCCCCCCCAAAAAAAAAAGAAAAAGCCTCACAAGAAAAAACCAGGGAAGCCGAAAAAATACTAAAGAAGAAGGCCCACTGGTCAGATCCATACGCATCGGCTGGAGGAACAGGCTCGAATGCTTCCGCCACCACCCCGGAAAGGAACACCCCCAAAACCGCTTGAGTCTCAACACCAACTAGACCCTGCCTCGCCTCCGAACCCACAAATGTGTCGGAGCTGGAAGCAAGGGGGATGGGGTACCGGATGCACAACAGAAGGGGAAGGAAGGGTGGACGTTACCAAAGTCGAAGCAACCCCCAAGTTCAGGTCCCTAAAACCGCAACGGGGCAATCTCGGGGCATCCGGGGAAGCAACCAAACCATCTCATTGCAGTAACTAGTACCTAGCATGCAATGCAGCTTCTGCATGCACCCCTCATATCACCATCAGTAGCTAGGTAGAACTGGAGCATGTACCAACAACAATGTCGTATGACTCCGGGTCAAAAGAATCACCAACCCTACAGGCAGCATGGCGGATACACAACCGGTGAATGTCACCCTGAGACAAGGAGACAGAGCAACCATTAACCTCGCAAGAAGCGAGAGGGAACTCAAGGGTCACATCCATCGGACCATGGAGCCCCCACGGGGTTTCCCAGGGCCCTTAGCCTTGGTAATATGCTAAAGGAAGCTCAGGCAGGGTACTGCGAACCGGCGCCAGAAACTACCAAGCAAACCTGAAAGCTCTGCTTGGTAGTGAAACCCTGGGACTCATGGGGGACTTGTAAAAGCTGAACCCCCAGAATGTGTCCACTCACGTGTTATCTTGAGGTTATCTTGAGATGATTTCGGGGCTTTAGTGTCCCTGTGGCCCGGTCCTCGACCAGGCCTCCACCCTCAGGAAGCAGCCCGTGACAGCTGACTAACACCCAGGTACCTATTTTACTGCTAGGTAACAGGGGTATAGGGTGAAAGAAACTCTGCCCATTGTTTCTCGCAAGCGCCCGGGATCGAACCCGGGACCACAGGATCACAAGTCCAGCGTGCTGTCCGCTTGGCTGACCGGCTCCAACATAACGGGGGTCATAACGGGGGGTCTAGCAGGGAATACCACCAAAAACACAGATATGGAAATAGACCCTAAATATAAATAGGGAACAACCAACCAAAGGCGGACCCCCCACCCCACCGGGATGTGTAAAAGCTGAACCCTCAGGATGAGTCCACTCACGAGGTCCTAGCAGGGGGATACCACCAAAAACAGATATGAAAATAGACCCTAAATATAGACAGGGGGGCAACCAACCAAAGGCAGACCCAACTCCACCAGGCAGGAAAACAAAAGCAAACGAAAAACCCCGCAAGAGGACAACATACCCAGGCGGAACAGAACTGGCCGCTACAGTAGGTGATAGCAAGCAGTGCAGTACCCCCACGCCCCTACCAGTGCCAACTACCTCTTACCCCAAGGTAAACAAGGGAGGCCGTAAACCCCCAGAACTCCTAGGGCAGTCAAATACCAAGCAGCAAAAGACCAACAGAGGTAGACCCCAAGGTGACTTGTGGAAGATAACCCCCCCCCCAGAAAATGTTGCTTTTTAGAAGTATAAACAAGAATAAATGTTTTCCTTAAAAATGAGCTGGCCACTCCATAGTCTCGGAGAATAAGCATGGACCTCTGCCCCCAGTTACGGTGCAACACAATGCTTTGTATGCCACACAAGCCAAACATGAACCTCTGCCCCCATAACAGTGCTACACAATGTTCTGTATGCCACACAAGCCAAACATGAACCTCTGCCCCCATAACAGTGCTACACAATGCTCTGTATGCCACACAAGCCAAACATGAACCTCTGCCCCCAGTAACAGTGCTACACAATGCTCTGTATGCCACACAAGCCAAACATGAACCTCTGCCCCCAGTAACAGTGCTACACAATGCTATGCCACACAAGCTAAACATGCACCAACACAATGCTTTGTATGCCACACAAGCCAAACATGAACCTCTGCCCCCATAACAGTGCTACACAATGCTCTGTATGCCAAACATGAACCTCTGCCCCCATAACAGTGCTACACAATGCTCTGTATGCCAAACATGAACCTCTGCCCCCATAACAGTGCTACACAATGCTCTGTATGCCACACAAGCCAAACATGAACCTCTGCCCCCAGTAACAGTGCTACACAATGCTCTGTATGCCACACAAGCCAAACATGAACCTTTGCCCCCAGTAACAGTGCTACACAATGCTCTGTATGCCACACAAGCCAAACATGAACCTCTGCCCCCAGTAACAGTGCTACACAATGCTCTGTATGCCACACAAGCCAAACATGAACCTCTGCCCCCAGTAACAGTGCTACACAATGCTATGCCACACAAACTAAACATGCACCAACACAATGCTCTGTATGCCACACAAGCCAAACATGCACCAACACAATGCTCTGTATGCCACACAAGCCAAACATGAACCTCTGCCCCCAGTAACGGTGCAACACATAAGCCAAACATTGACCTATGCCCCCCCCAGTAACGGTGCTACACAATGCTATGCCACACAAGCCAAACATGGACCTCTGCCCCCCAGTTATGGTGCAACACAATGCTCTGTATGCCACACAAGGCATTTGGTTTAAGACGATCCAGATGGAGTCTATGTTTTGCCAACAATAAATTTAAAACTAAAGTGCTATGTTTAATTAAGATTATTTAAGACAGTAGCATTGTTCAGTCCTATAATTTGGACAAAGTGTACTAACAGTGTGAGTTTGGGAGCTGTAAAAAGCCCATATTAATAACTTCACCACATCAACACCAAGGCTATCATTTCAAATGCTGAAACATCACAATCTCCGTGTCTTTACAGTCTCCGTGGTGTAGTGGTAAGACACTCGCCTGGCGTTCCGCGAGCGCTATGTCATGGGTTCGTATCCTGGCCGGGGAGGATTTACTGGGCGCAATTCCTTAACTGTAGCCTCTGTTTAACGCAACAGTAAAATGTGTACTTGGATGAAAAAACGATTCTTCGCGGCAGGGGATCGTATTCCAGGGACCATAGGATTAAGGACTTGCCCGAAACGCTACGCGTACTAGTGGCTGTACAAGAATGTAACAACTCTTGTATATATCTCAAAAAAAAAAAAAAAAAAAAAACACTGATAAGTAGTCTTTGTAGTTCAGCATGTTTATGGGATCCCAGTATTGGTGCTTAGCTACATACCATAGAAAAAAGTATAAAACTATCAATTAAAGAGCAGGTCACAAAGCGGGAAAAAACCCCCAAAGTTTAGTTAGTCTTAAGCCAAGTTATTTCTAGATACATATGCAAGTGCTAGAAATTTCATGTAATTTATCATTAAGGAGACATGAATTGATACTAGTCAAATCAATCAATGTGGAGATACTTAATCTGTGTGAATTTAATATGAAATGATCCAAAGAAGTTGATTTATGAAGACTGCATTTACATGGGATCGAGAAGCAGCATTTCCTGTAGTCATCATATAACTTGTCAAATTTACAAGAGAAGCCATCCACTTTAATTAAAGGTTTCATTTGTCAGGATACCGTCTCCGGGACACAGACCCCTCTGGGACTCAGCCATAGCTAAGCCACAAATCCTTTAAAATTGTACATATTTTAACATTCATTAATTTTGTATTTAAGGAAATTGATTTTTATTATGATTACATTTCTAGACAGGGGGGTTCTAGATAGAATATATAGAATATATTCTATATTCTATCATAATAAAAGGGGCCCAGCTCAAAAAAATATCAGTCAAGAAATCATACAACTCTTTGGAAATTTTATTTGGCCACAGGAAACAGACCAACATCCAAGACAATAAGCCACCTAAGTAACACCCTGTCCAATATTTCCCAAATACAACATACACGTATTAGTACAGTAGCGAAGTCAGCTGCTTCACACTGATACCTGAGGAACACAAGAGACCCACCTAACCGCACCAGGAATTCCTGGACAGGGTTTTTCCAAAAACCCTGCAGCAATATCACCACCACCACATCACTGGACTTTTCACTAAAGGACTGACAGATCTGACAAGAGGCAGGTCCACCAACAACTCTCAATCAAAGGCTGTCTTGACCAGAAGCCCAACCCACTCTTCCAAGACTTGACCAGAAAGAAGAAAAAGGGTAACTGTAAATGTCACAGTGCATAATGTAACTTACATTTATTGAAGAAGCTTGTGGACCTGGCTGACTGTATGAGTGGCAATGAAGGTACACACACAACTTGATTTATTCTTTTCTGCTTTTCTAGTTTAGAGTTAGAGTTCTCGTCTATCAGGCATGCCCTCTGTGCTAGAGTAACATACTGCCTCAGTCCTGAAATACAGTACAAGCAAAGTAGAGAATGGATTTACAGGCTGCAAATATAGATAAATATGTACAACTTCTTATAGGTCTATACATACATGAAGACTTCGTTAACAATAAGGTACTGGGTATGTATTATTTGTACATACAGTATCACTAATATATTACAGTAATGCATTTTTATGTTTGGGAAAAGTTGTCAGTCTATGGTCATGTAGAAAAGTTATCATTCTGTGTGAATTAAAATCAAGCACTGAATATAATAAAATGACTTTTTCTGGTGAGCCACTAGTAGCTTCCCAAATTTCTCTCAAATACCAACAAGCCCAACACATTGGGCTTCCAAGACCCCATCAGTAGCCCAATGCAAGCCAGGATCAGCATCTGGCTCACTCATGAGACAAGGGCAGCAGGGAATCTGAGATCAATCACGATTCTGGAAAACCCAACATAAAGCACAGACATAACAAAATAAGCAACTCCTTAATGGAAATTAGGCACCTCTAGGTGAACAAGGTAAATGATCATTTCTTTGGTTGGCCCTGCATGATTTTACTAATTTCCCAATCACCTCTGCACTATACATGGCATACAGCTCGCAGTTTATCAGAAGAAACTGCAAATTGCCAGATCAACAATACACAGTTCAGGGTACGAGGCTACTGTTCCCTGGGTCACTGTGGAACATGTAGTCCGGTACCAAAAGATGCAAGCAGTGTGTGGACAAGCTCGGTGTAGCAGGAGAGAAGAATGTGCTTTATTGTTGTGTCCTTAGGTCGCTGGTGGAGCATTTAGATCCGGGGCGGATGGGCTCGGGCACCAGGACAATAGGAGGTAATGTAGGCACATAGTTAGAACAACGAGGAAATCACTGCTAGAGCTGAATTGTCCTGGAGGCGATGAAGTGTTGGAAACACAAGCTGTAAGTCTTGTACTGTGCAAAGGGCTTGAGTCGGCAGAGTATCAGAATAAATGAATCTGATGAGAGAGCAGCTGTTGTGGGAGTCCCTGTAGAACAAGCAGTGCCCTGGCAGCGACGGAGAGTCGGCAGGACAGGCTTTAGATCCCACATTTATTTATTTATTTTATTTATTTATTTATGCATATACAAGAATGTACATAAGGAATGTGAGGATACAAATATGGTAATTACAGTCTTGTAAAGCCACTAGCACGCGCAGCGTTTCGGGCAGGTCCTTAATCTAAGAAAATTTTAAGGAGGTAAATACTTGCAAAATTTATAGACAAAAAAATGATAACAGATTACATGAAATGAAAAAAAAAAAAAAAAAAAAAAAGATGAGAGAAAATTGTAGGTACAGTATATTAAAGCACATAGGTAGCTAAGATTGATTGCAATGATGTAGTTGCTGATGAAACTGTCAGATGAGTAAGTAATGCTCGCGGTGCAGCAAGCTGTAATTGATGAAAATGCAGAGATGATCGCCATGAAAATCCTTGCTGAGGGGAGGGTATTGGCAGCGGTCCACAGCCCGTAGGCAGCAGAAGTAGCGGTCCAGTGAGAGTCCATGTTTTAGTCCGTCGTGGCTGGGTACCGTCAAAACTCTCTGGGGTCACCAATGTAACATACGACGATGTTACGTTGTTGAGTAGATTAGATACATACGCAGTGTTTAGTGAGTTTCATATTTATTTAATAGTCCTGGATACAGCAGTGTCGTAGATGTTGAGATGGAACTTGGAGCAGAGCAGGGAGCCGAGTGTGGCCGGAGTCGCGGAGCTCTATGTGGGAGAGCGATGTAGCTCGATGCGGTCCTAGTCTGCTGTCTGTTGTGTCGAAGCTGGAGCGTCTTGGGGTCGATTAGATCTGCATATGCCGAGTGCTACATTCTTGACTGTGGAAATTGTACTGTTGTCTATTCTCATATCGCTTCTTATATTTGGTTGGTAACTACCCCTCATCTTTCTCTACTAGGATAGGAGGATGTGAGGACTGTTACCTGTAATTAGGGATAGGATTATAGCTTGTGTAGTTAGTGCTAATTAGTTACGCCATTAACATAATGAGATAATGGAGTGAGTATAAGGATTACTCGCTACAGGTTACTTCAGAATACCTCAAGAAACTTATACAAAGCACATAAGAAGTAAACCTACCACTATATGCGGATAAAGGCATCCCACATGATAATTGGCTAGTTTATTAGTACCCAAGATGGACTGCCAAAAAACGTTAAAACCTCACATTTGGGCCACCTACATCGAGCACCTCACAACTTGACCATCCACTCACCAACCAGCACCTCACACCTTGACCATCCACTCACCAACCAGCACCTCACACCTGGACCATCCACTCACCAACCAACACCTCACACCTAGACCATCCACTCACCAACCAGCACCTCACACCTGGACCATCCACTCACCAACCAGCACCTCACACCTTGACCATCCACTCACCAACCAGCACCTCACACCTTGACCACCCACTCACCAACCAGCACCTCACACCTTGACCATCCACTCACCAACCAACACCTCACACCTAGACCATCCACTCACCAACCAGCACCTCACACCTGGACCATCCACTCACCAACCAGCACCTCACACCTTGACCATCCACTCACCAACCAGCACCTCACACCTTGACCATCCACTCACCAACCAACACCTCACACCTAGACCATCCACTCACCAACCAGCACCTCACACCTAGACCACCCTTCTTCTTCTTTGTGATATGTGCAGTTTTCACAAAGGTTTTTCCTCCCAATGACTGCACGAGTGGTAAAGTTGAAAGATGCGTCACTCACAGTGGCACATCAATGTTCATAATTTGGCAGTTTGAAACTTATCACGGTCATCTGTATGCGTGAGGATAATGACAAAAATAAACATGAGTGGAACTTGACTCGGGACTGCAAAGGTGAGTTGTGTTGGTGGTGGTAACCGAGTGTTGCTGTGCTATGGAAAGTGTGTGGTTTAGTCAAGAGACTGAGTGAGTCGAAGCATGTTTGGGAGCTAGTCGCAAATCAGAAAAGTTTAGAGTAGATTAGGGTAGGTTACATTATGTTAAGTAATGTAGGGTTAGTGTGTATGAGGTTATTTTAGGTTGGGGAAGGTTAATTTAAGATAGGTTAGATTAGATTGTGGTATTGCAAATCTTTACGTCTGGGATGTGATTACATCAGTATTCCTTTACATGCCAGTAGTACAGCATGTTGAATATCTGGGAGTGGTTGGAGGATGTGTCGTGGGAGTGTGGGGTTTAAATGATTTTTTAAAGTGACAGATTGCTGGAAAGTTTGTATAGCTGGGGATTTCTTACTCTTAGTGCTGATGATTGTGGCAAGTCAGTCTCGGGAGTGACGAGTGAAAAAACCTGTCTGGAAGTTAAATCAACTCCATATGACCGACTCCTCAAGCCAGTCTGGGGAGTGACTTCAGTAAGGCGTGCTAAGTAGTTATTTAGAAGTCTGTCAGTTCAAAAGTTTTGTGTACAGTAATTTATTTATTAATTTATTTATTTATATACAAGAGGTACATTGGGGGTTAACAGAGAACATAGAAATTAAGTTGATTTTACATTCTTGGAAAGCCACTAGCACGCATAGCATTTTGGGCAAGTCATTAAACTAACAAATAATGTTTAGATAATTCATAGTAAAATTGAAAAAAAAAAATTTACAGGCACTTTACAGCTTTACTTTACTGGTACAGATAATTTTAGGTAGAATAATTACAGTAAAACTGTCAAAAAAAATTTACAGGTACTGTACATTGCAAGAAATTTTGACACAATAGCAATTAGAATAATACACAATAATAACAATATACAATAATGAACAAGGATTACTAGGTACATTAGGATAACATTTCAGGGTTATACATTGGTTCACTGAAGCATAATATGAGGATCATTTCAAGGAATAATGCAGTAGAATATGCACTCAATACAACAATCATGATATCAATGATGTCTAAGATTACAATGGAAAAGTAATATGGCTAAGGTATAAATATTGGGGGATTGGGTAGCACTAGGTACAGTGCAAGATAAAGCACAAGGTAGAAAACTATGAAGATGAAATTAGGTACTTTTTGGTTTTACTTTTGAATAAGGCAAAAGTTGGACAGCTTTTCAGTTCATTAGGGAATAAGTTCCATAGACTGGGTCCCTTTATTTGCATAGTGTTTACACAGATTAAGTTTGACTCTGGGGATATCAAAGAGATATTTACGTCTGGTGTGGTGATTATGTGTTTTTAAATTTTTTAATTTTGCCCCGAGGGGCGAGTTTATTGGGCAGCGCCACTCATCTTGTGAGTGAACATACCGCCATAGCAGAATGTACAACACTCCCCAATAGGAAGAAAACCCGCTGGGTTGTTCATCCTGTCACTTGTACCCAGACACAGCTGGGACTTGCTTAACTGTCTCAAGTGAACAGCTCCTCAAACAAGAAGATTAACATTTATCAACCCTTAAAAGCTTACGTTATCTTGCGGGTGCAAAATGGGGAAATCTTTTAAGAACAGTATCAATATTTGACAAATAGTGTTTTCCTAACTCAAACAATGTGGGGTTTATTATTCTACAGTTATTCCTAATGTCTCTCAGGTGTTCACATTCACGTAGATAGTGGTCAAGGCGGTGTCCATCACTCTCACCACAGATTCTGCAACTTCGCTGATCAACTGTTGTTTCCATTCCAAATCTCCATGGATATTTGTATCCAAGACGGATTCTCGCTATTACAGATTCTCTCACTCATCGTCCTCCTCTTCGGCCATACTGATTGGGATTGCCAGCTGCAACCATGTTGTACCATCGTACAGATTCACTGGTTTGTGCTTCTATCCTCCTTTCCTCAGTTACCTTGTCACGGTGATGTTGCCTGATAATACCTCTAATTTGTAGTTGAGTCTTGGGTATGAAGTATTCAATATGGTCTCCTTCAGCGCCTTCAGCAGCCAGCACATCTGCTCGTTCATTCCCACATATTCCAACATGGGAGGGGATCCACAGAAACTTGATGACTCTTCCCTGATTGGTAAGTACTCTCACAACTCTCTTGATTTCAGCGACTATTGCAAGATTTTCTGCCTGATTTTTACTTAGGCTTTGCAGTGCTGCTTTTGAATTGGTGCAAATCACTGCACCATTAGTGTTCCGTTCAAGAAACCTTAACGCCATAACAATGGCAGTTAGCTCTGCTTGCGTTGAAGAGGCATAGTTCTCAATACGTGCTTTTTCTTCATTTCTGCGTTGGAAGGTATTATCCTTGATTACCGTGTATGCTGCACCAGCCCTGCCATTGATAGGATTAGATGACCCGTCAGTGTAGATTTGATCTAGTTCATCTCCGGCTTCTTTATAAATGTCCTCGAGATACTTGTGCCTCATTTCTTGTGGTATCATGTTGGATTTTTTCATTGCCATTTCATTGATGATGATCTTGCATGAGTCATCCTCCCAGGGAGGTAACCTCTCTACAGGCAGGAGCTCACGGGCTTGCTCAAGCAGGTGAAGCTCTTCAAGGTAGCAGACTGCTCTGTGATGCCATTTTTTGCTTCTCCTGTTTCCCCCTGAAAGTAGCACAGAGCTCAGTTTTTTCTTGGCAATATCATTGCAATGGGGATCTCTGGCTATCCTAATTGCAAGCTTAGCATTCAGCTCCTGAATTCTGCTTTTAATACTGGGAAGGGACAACTCCTCTCGTAGATTAGACGTTTTGGCAGTTCTTGGGACTCCAAGAATGATTGTCATGGCTTCATTTTGAATGCTTTCAAGCCTTTTCATATCGCTTTGGGAGTAGGTGCACAGTACTGGTGCGGCATAGTCTATGACGGAGCGCACATAGGCTGTGTACATCATTTTGAGCACGGCAATAGAGGCTCCATGTCCATTCCAGGTCATAGCTTTCAGTGCCCTGAGTCGACTTTTGCATGTTCCTATGAGTTGATTGAGCTCCTCTTTCTTTCCCTTGTTAGAGCCGACAGTGACGCCAAGGTACCGGTAGTGGTCAACCCATTCAAGTGTTACACCATTAATTTGCAGTTCTTCATTTGCTCTCCGCTTGTGATGGGAGTATGCCTTCGTCTTGTTTGTGGAGAGAGTGAAACCGAGCTCAATACATTTCCTTCCGAGGAGTTCAATGGACTGTTCAATTTTTCCCAAGGTGGGAGCTTGTATTAGGACATCATCTGCATATCCCACTTGTTGTGTTCCTTCCGGAAAATCAATAATTGCAATGGCGTTCATAAGTACATTGAATAGTGTAGGGCTTAAGACTCCGCCTTGGGGGGTCCCGAGTTCCATACTCATTGTTCTGGAGACTGCTCCATTGAAGCAAACCTTGGCTTTCCTTCCTGTGAGGTAGTCTTCAACCCATTTCATGAGTCTCCCCTTGACACCCATGCATGCAAGCTCGTCCAGGATCGCAATCACCTGTGCTTTGTCGAAGGCTCCTTTGATGTCAACAAATACAGAGTACCTAGCCGTGTCATTAACCAAGTAATTAACTATACAATTTGCTGTGCTCCGTCCTTTAACAAATCCATTGACCCCCTCCCCTAACCTGCCTATTTTGTGCAACAGTCGGTTTAGGATGATCCTTTCAAGCATCTTGCAAGTGCATGACACGAGGCTGATAGGTCTGTAATTACCAGGGTCATTAGGCTTCGGTATGGGAATAATTATTGCGTGTTTCCATTGTGTGGGCAACACTCCACTTAGGAATGACTTGTTAAACAGGTGGAGTAGTGGATTCCCAGACACTTCACACAGTGCATTGAGTATGTCGTAGGTGACGCCATCTTCACCAGGTGCTGTACTTTTACCCTTTTTCATAGCGCCCCTTACTTCTTGGGCTGTGATTGGTTCCCCATACTCGTCATCACTAGACAGTGCTCTTGTTATCCTAATTCTTCTGTCATCATGTCGCAGGAGCTGTTCCCTGCTGATTTCTGCAGGGAGGGAGGAGGAGGATACTGCATCACTCCACTTGTGAATTAGTTCCTCAGCCTTACCCTGGGGGTCTTTGTGAGCCACAGGCCGGGCTCTGCCCCCCTTAGCTATCTGAATTTTTGCCCACACTTGTCTTGCAGATGTTTCCCGTCCAATAGAGCTAGTGAACTCAAGCCATTGTCTTTCCCGCTCTTTAATCTTCTCTTCCCTGGCTACTTGACACACTGTTTTAAACAACTCTTGGTTACTTTCAGTGGGATGTCTCCGGTACTCTCTACTCATGTCTCGCACATTTGCGTTAAGCATCTTTATGTAATCATTCTCATACCATTTTATTTTCTTCCTCTGAGGGTTACTTCGCCCAGGCGTACGGCGCGGAACTCTTAGACAGCTCTCAATTTGGTGGTTAAGGTCATCAACAAATGTGTCAATGTCTTCTGGGATTTGGTATTCCGTGAACCAGTCACTCATCCTGTTTATGAAGTGCGGCCCCATATCTGGTCCGAGTGATAACCTTTTTCTTTTATTTGTCTCTTTCCTTCTCTTGCTCATGTCGACGGTGGTAATCAGTGCCCAATGGTCACTACATAAACTGTGCACAATGTGTGTACTGGCATCCGTGTCCTGTGCATTCAGCAGGAGAGCATAATCTAATCTTCCTCCTCTGAGGTGAGTTGGCTGTTCATCACCCAGGACCCTAAGATTATGTGTTCTATTACATCTGTCCAGGAAGAGTTTCAGAACAAGGTTTGCACTTAAAAGGGTTTTATAAATGTAATTAACAGAAGAGAATGTATGGAGTGAATTTATCTTTAGCACGTTTTGATATTTAAACAGGGGAGCTGTGTGTTGTCTGAAAGCAGAGTTTGTTACATCACCCAGCAGATTTTTACTGGGTGATGATGGGCTTGAGGTAGTTTGCAGAGGTTGAACCCGCAATGGTAGTTACCCACTTACCAATCAGCACCTCACACCTGGACCACCCACTCACCAACCAGCACCTCATACTTACCAACTGGTGAAGCACATTTGGTGTGCACACAGGAAAGATTCCTGGTGAGGCCGGCGAGCAGCATACACCCGGCCATGTTTACATCTTCCAGCTGGGCCACCGGGCAGCTCCCATAGGGGACTGGTCAAGTCGTATACTGCAATTTCGGATACCGGGCTAGAAACAACTTCGTTCACTGAGAAGTTTGTACATACAAACCATTCCGTTCGTATATGCGCTGGTTTGTGTTCGCTGTTGTTCTCGTCTGAATAAATACATGGCACTTGTTCATATAATTAGCGCTTCCATTATTATAATTATTTATCCATTATTAGAATAACAAGGTGCAAACCATATCCCCTTACAGTTATATCCCCACACTCCGTACATTGACCACATCGTACACTAACATTTTTACCATTTCGGACACTAACTTTGGACGTTTCGTATATGTCTACATGTTCAATATTAAAACGACAATATAATGCTATTAACAGTTACAATCTTCTACTTAACAGGCATATAGTTATTAAGTGAAGTTTAGTAATGTGATGGACATAATCGGGATTGGTAAGAACGCCGCCCACCAGCGTAAACACAACGCACCCGAATGGCCACAAACATGATCGAATGTACAAAACACAAGAATTTTGCCAGTTCAAAGCAAATCAAATCAAATGTTTATTTAGGTAAGGTACATACATACAAGAGATTTTACAAAGAGTGATGGATTTATAGATAGGGCTAGTACATACAGTGCTTAAAGCCACTATTACGCAAAGCGTTTCGGGCATGAAAAACTTAAATGACTAAAGCTTAATACTAATTAAGCATAAAGAATAAAATAAGTTGAGAACAAATAAAAAAAAGAGATAAAAAAGGGGGGAACATGGCTGAAAAAGCAGCACAAATACAATTCTGTCGACAAATTGCTCCATTAAAAAAAAAAAAAGATTGGATGACATAAGAGGGGTAATGTAGGTTACAGAGAATTTATTAGGTATAGCTTCGTTTTTATCTTAAACTGGTTGAGAGAGGTACAGTCTTTAACATGGTTGGGAAGGTCATTCCACAATCTGGGTCCCTTGTTTGTAGAGCATTTCTAGTATGATTAAGTCGTACTCTAGGAATATCAAAACTATATTTATTTCTTGTGTGGTGCTCATGGGTTCTGTTACAACATTCTATGAAGCTTTTGAGGTCAGGATTGGCATTACAGTTCAGCGTTTTATATATGTATAATACACATGAGAGAATGTGCAGTGACTTAATATCCAACATATTCAGAGATTTGAGTAGGGGTACCGAGTGATGTCTGGGGCCAGAGTTGGATATTGTCCTAATAGCAGCTTTGTGTTGAGTAATTAGAGGACGTAAATTATTTTGGGTAGTAGAACCCTAAGCACAAATACCATAGTTGAGATATGGATAGATGAGGGAGTAATAGAGAGTCACCAGGGCAGGGCGGGGTACATAATGTCTGATCTTAGAAAGAATGCCAACAGTTTTTAAAACTTTTTTTGATATATTTAGAATGTGTCCCTGGAAATTCAGCTTGTGGTCAATGAGAATGCCAAGGAATTTGCCATCTAATTTGTTACAAATTTGGGTATTATTTATTTTGAGATTTATTTGATTAGAGGATTTATTGCCAAACAGAATATAGAAAGTTTTGTCAATGTTAAGGGTGAGTTTGTTGGCAGTTAGCCAAAGATGGACTTTATTTAGCTCAGTATTTACTGTGGCATTTAGAGCAAGGGGGTCAGGACTGGAGTAAATGAAGGTTGTGTCGTCAGAAAATAGAATTGGTTTGAGGTGTTGGGAGGCATTTGGAAGGTCATTAATGTAGATGAGAAAGAGGAGAGGGCCAAGTATGCTGCCCTGAGGAACACCAATGTTGATGGGTAGGGTGGGAGAAATTGAATTATTCACAGAAACATACTGGAGCCTGTCAGTAAGGTAGGATTTGAGGTATTGCAGGGAGTGTCCTCTGACTCCATAATGATGTAATTTAAGAAGAAGGTTTTGATGGTTCACAGTGTCAAAAGCCTTACGCAGGTCCACAAATAATCCAACAGGGAACTCATTTTTATCAAGAGCTGTATGAATCAAGTTAAGCATACGAATAAGTGCATCGTTAGTGCTTTTTTTGGGTCTGAAGCCATATTGGCAAGAGCTAAGTATATTGTGTTTGTCTAGAAAAGAGTAAAGCTGCTTGTTGATTGGTTTTTCAAATATTTTTGACAAGTTAGGCAGGATTGATATAGGTCTGTAGTTGTTAAAACACTTTAATGCGCGCGCGCCCCGTGAAAAAATAGCGCATTGTGCGCGCGGCGTTTTGGGCTCTTGAGGGTAAACACCAAAAAGTGTGTAATCTTTTCACTCTCCTGACACCAATTCTCGAGCTATGTATTTCCATTTGGTATCAATGTGTTCGCAATAAAATTCTCTACAAGATCATATGTATAACATGTCACCAAAGCATTAGCTATCCCACCATGAAATAAATAAAACGTATATCACTCGCCGTGGCGCCCAAACAGAAACATAATGTTCATACTCTTGTGTTTGTTGTCAGCTCCACATTAGTCCTATAGCGTTATATTTTATATCACTGAACTCGCAATAAAATTCCCTACACAGACATATGCATATAAATGTAGAATCATGATCGCGGCCCACACTAAGAGTGTGTGAAGTGGGCGATTACCCTCGTTGTGTCAACAACTCAATAGTCTCTCCTCTAAGTTACAATACAATGTCGTTTTCTCAAATAGGCCATGTGCTTATTAGAGAAAACAGAAATTTAATGGCAAACATTTTCATACTAACCCCAAGTCGATCGAATAAGAATTGGATTTATATGTTTTTTTTTTAGATCGGCCGGCTATTACTACATCAGCCACTATCTTGGACCACATATGGAGAAACATAACAGCTCCCCTTGTATCTGGTATAATCTACGACAGAACAACTGACCACTATCCTACCTTTCTCATAGCGAACATGGACATAACACCACCAAAAAGCAAGAAACTTTCATTTAGGCTACACAGTGAATCAGCTTTAGACAATCTTACAGAGGCACTTCACAATATTAACTGGGATTCTGAATTCAATAATACCCATGATATAAATTCATTAGCTAACCTCTTCCTCTCCAAAACTCTAAGCCTCTACAACCTTCATTGTCCCCTTCTTACCAAGCAAGTAACTGACAAAAGATTAAACAATCCATGGCTCACAAGTGGCATTCTCAACTCAATCAACAAGAAACATGAATATGAAAAGAAAGTTAGGATTGGCCTAGTTTCAAAGGAAGTAGCTAAAAGGTACTCATCAATGCTTACCAGTATCATAAGAAAGGCAAAACTTGCATATTATGTGAATAGATTCAATGAAGCAAAAGGCAACATGAAAAGCACTTGGAAAACTATCTCTAGTATCCTAGGAACTAAACAACACTCACATAACCAAATAAAACTCTACAAGGATGGGGATATACCGTCAACTGATTTAGAAATGGCATATGAATTTAATAATTTCTTTTCATCGGTTGGTGCTAATCTTGCCAGTAAAATCCCACAGACTCAGACACATATTAACACATATCTCTCAGGCAGCTATCCAAACTATCTTCTCCTTTCACCAATCAGCCCGGCAGATGTTGTGTCCATCATACACTCTCTAAAAACCAAGGCAGGGAACACCAGTGAAATTCCCTCCATTGTGTACAAGAGAGCCTCCCATGCCCTTGCCCCACCCATAGCACTACTGTTCAACAAATCTATAGAGTGTCACACCTTCCCTGATATCCTCAAAAAAGCAAGAGTAACGCCAGTCCATAAAGGAGGCAATCCGGCGGACATAAACAATTATAGACCAATATCAAATCTACCCATTCTATCAAAAATATTTGAAAAAATTATTTACAAACAGCTCTATTCCTACCTCGTAAAATTCGACATACTCAGCCCCTGCCAGTTTGGCTTCCGGTCCCAAAAGAGCACCAACGATGCAATCATTAGTCTCCTTGACGTTATCTACTCAGCCCTTGACAAAAATGAGTTTCCGATTGGACTCTTCATTGACCTAAGAAAAGCCTTTGATACTGTTAATCACAACTACCTCTTACTTAAACTCCAGCATTATGGAATCCGAGGCCTTGCCCTTGACTACATCCGATCCTATCTTAGTGACAGACACCAATATGTAACCATCAATGATACAACTTCTTCCACTCTACCAATTACCGTTGGAGTGCCACAGGGCAGCATCTTAGGACCTCTTCTATTTCTTATATATATAAACGATCTGCCTAATGTCTCTAATATTCTCAAACCTATATTGTTTGCTTACGATACTACCCTTATCTATTCAAACCTCAACCCACATACACTAAATAATGTTGTGAATAATGAATTAAAAAATGTCCACTTATGGATGTCAACGAACAAACTAACATTAAACATCGAAAAGACTTACTACATCTTATTTGGAAGCAAATCATCAAATGCAATTCAGCTACAGATAGACAACATTAACATCAGTAATAAAAATGATGGCAAGTTTCTTGGCCTATTCCTAGACAAGAGACTCAACTTCAGCACCCACATTCAACACATAACTAAGAAAGTCTCTAAGACAGTTGGTATACTCTCCAAAATCAGATATTATGTTCCGAACTCTGCTCTCCTCTCACTATATTATGCACTAATCTACCCCTATCTTAATTATGGTATCTGTGCATGGGGGTCTACCACTGCAAACCACCTTAAGCCCATCATCACACAGCAAAAATCTGCTATCAGAATAATAAGTAACTCTGCTTTCAGACAACACTCAGCTCCCTTGTTTAAATCCCTAAACTTGCTAAATATTAACTCCCTCCACACATTCTCTTGTGTCAACTACATTTACAAAACCCTGTTCTTAAATGCAAACCATGCTCTGAAACTCTCCCTGGACAGATGTAATAGGACCCATTATCACCACACCAGAAATAATTATCTCTTTGATATCCCCAGGGTCAAACTTAATCTGTGTAAACACTCTATGCAAATTAAGGGACCTAGTCTATGGAACTCACTCCCTAGTGAATTAAAAAACTGTAAAACTTTTGCCTTATTTAAAAGCAAAACCAAAAAGTACCTAACTTCATCTTCTTAGTTTCCTACA